TTTAGCTCAGTGGTGCCACACCTGTCTCACAAGCGTGAGGTCCTGAGTTCAATCCCTGGTACCAAAAAAAACAGTAACTGGGGCAGCTTTATCTATACCCATGATTAGCACTTTTTAATTTTGGTGCTAATTTTTACTTGTATTTTGGAGCTCTCTCAATTTGAAATCTTTATATGAAATGAGGTATATATGCATACAACATAGGGTATCATCAGTTACAATGGATGGAATTTGCTAGTGACTCAGAAAATTCTCTATCAGCCCAGAGCGACAAAAAATTAAAAAATGGGATTAACACTTGATTTGCTGATTAATATGCCTCCTACATGAATGCTGTATTATTTCTATAATTTAATTTGGCTAAAATTCAGTGTCCTGATAGGAAATCAGCAGGATTTGAAGCTTTCACGTAATCAAATCTCATTAATGACATCCCTCCATTTGAGAATCAAGTCTTAGTTTTTCTGAGTTTTGTTTCACAACTAAAATAATTTTGATTTAGCACCCAAACACCAGCTACCAGTTTCAAATTATATAGCTAGAGTGCATTCCACTTTCCAGGATGCCCTCTTTCTTAGAAGCTATCTTTCTCTTACTAAAATGTTCTTACTCTTAACCTCCACTGTTACTAGAATTCACATTCTTGGATTTTATAGAACACGAACTTGTGCTTCAGATATCTAGCAGGTTTGGGAGTTCCATCTAGTCTCCCTTATCATTTTGGAGTTTTTCCACTGAGATTACTGGACAGAGCCTCAAAACTATCCACCCACCCAAGATGACAATGCCTGGCCCCAATTGAGGACCTTTAGATAAGATGCTCTGTAGAATAACTCTTGACTGCTGATCACAACTATGACCCTGTTCTGCCAGAAGGAGCCCGACCGGTCTTCACCCTTTTCCCCCCTCACAGCAGTTAGGGGTATATCTTCAGAGGGGCAATACAGTAGATAGCTAAGTTAATTAGCTATCTTGTAGGCAGTTAGACAGGGCCAGCACAAAAGGAGCCAACATAGAGGACAATCAAGATGCATACATTGAAAAAGAGGAAAAAAAAGAAAAAAAAAAAAAGAGAGAAACTACCACACTCTTGTGCTTCCCCTAAGGATGTATAGCAATGATTGATATTCTAAATAGGTATTCATCACCTGGGTGGGGGACCAAGATCTTCCAAGACCCTCACCTTACCACTGAAAATCCTTGCTCATTCTTTGTATGCTTGCTACAGGTTTCCCCATTGGATCCCCATTTAATCAATAATTCCTAAGCAACTATACTTGTCATAATCTTATTCATTGTTCATAGTTTTGTCCACCTTGTAATTTCTCATTGGATCATTATCTAAGTGACTGTACTTGTAATCTTACTAGTTCACTATAGTTTTGCCCCACCTTGAAACCACTTCGCATCTTGGCTTCGTCCCATAAAACACCTTTGAGAAGTAAGGTGAGCAGGCAACCCACTTTCAGGTCCCACTTCTCTCTTTCTTAGAAGCTATCTTTCACTCAATAAATTTTTTCCTACTCTTAAAACTATATAGCAAGAATTCAACATTATTAAAGATATGATTTACAAACAAACCAGACATATAGTCCAGCATGTATGAGGTCAGGTCTAAGAGGGGAATGGGATAAAATTTATTTCTTAAAAAAGCTAAAGGTCAAGCTACATGTCCAAAAACAAAGACTTATTAATAATTAATAACTGTCATCCTACACACAAAGAAAATAATCTTTGTTAGGTACGGTGGCACATGCCTACAATCCCAACACTACAGAAACAGAGGCAGGAGGATCAAGAGTTCAAGGCCAGCCTAGGGAACTATCTCAAAAAAAAAAAAAAAAAAA